CTTGTGGCCTTTTTAGTTGGCCACAGCTTGGTGTGACAGCAACACCAACATTCATTAATCTTGGCTATGGTTTATTAAAAGAAGTCAACTTCCAGCCATGGGTTACAAAGCCAGCATGGGGTTCTGATATAAAATTAATATTCTGAAATCTAACAAGGAAGCCAAAGCTTATTCTCCTTGTGTCCATGGTGCCGGAGGAGAGGGCACTGTAAGAGTTGGCTTCCTGTGAGTTTCCAGGAGAAAAATGTCAAGGCTACCTCTCAATAGTACAGGGAGTTAGTCCAACTTAAGACATGCCCATGCACACACAAGCTGTGCCTTTTTCTGTAGCATTTTAAAATTTTAACCTCAAGTGGAGTGGCTTATTATGTCCTAAAGCTGCAAAGATTATGATTCAGACTTAAGTATTAAATTTCGGTAAAGGCAAAATACCAAGCCTTCAAGAAATCCATCAGCCGCTCTTCTAACCCATACGTTTAGATGCCAGGGCAGTTGCAGAGGTGTGTCTGCTGAAAAACCTCTCCATTGCTTTCTTCACCCCTTTCTGCAAAGCTGTGTTTGTGAACTAATGGTGTCTGAGGCTCACAATGACTTGCACAGCATGCTGATGGAAAGTGTTCTTTGCTGGTGATTTTCTGCTTCAGAGGGAAATGAATTAAACATTACTGTGCTCAGAGGAGATCCAGCAGAAATAAATGTTTCCTGCCTCTGGAGATCAGTAAAAGAGAAAAACAGAAAGGCAAAACTTGTACTGGTGCAATGACCAGTCTATTATAGGTGTGACTGTGTGTAGCTTGAGCTCCTGGAAGTCTTTAAACCAAGTTGCACATATGGGGGCCCCTTCAGATCTTGTTGGCTGCAACTCCAGCCCTAGCCAGGCTAGGCACTGGTGGATGGTAACAGGAATTATCACCAGACAACATCTGGAGAGCCACAAATTCTCCATCTCTGCTTTCATGCATCTTTTAACTGCCCTACTTAAAACCCCCTATTGTACCCTGACCCCATAGTTTGTAGACTATTCTATTACTTCTAAGGGCTATACAAGCAACTGATAGCTTTTAATTGTATCACAGTGTAAAATACCATGAAATGCTGACTTCATCAGTAAAAATATAATTGAAACCAGAGGAACTGCCTTGTACGTACCAGTGAAAATAGCTACTGTACAGTTCTGAGGATAACAAATAATAGGCGGATTAAAGGATAAGAAGCTAAATGATGAAATAAGTGGATAAGCCTGTCAAGAGATGAGGAGGATTATCAGACGGGTTGATGTGGATGGTCCCCAGACTGTGAAACAGGGGGACCAAACACAGTGCTAATACCAGTCAGAGGCTTTACAGCACAGCTTTGAAACATATCCAGAAGTGAAGAATCTGGGTTTCAACATATTTGATAAACAGTTTTCAACTGCAGCTTTTAATTAAAATGAAGCCTGTAACCAAAAATCTTGCAACTGTTCTAATTATTTAAAATGAATCCTAACCTTTCCTAGTGGTCCTGTTTTCTTGGTTAGGAAACATGACATAATAACTGCAGTGTAAAGTAGACTGATTCCTCACTAAACTAAGGGATATTAACATAAGTTTTCTATAGATCAACATTCAAGTCGACACAAGAGTTGACACCATTCTGCAAAGTGAAAAATCCTCTCAGTTTAAAGTGGTTAATTTTATCCCCAAAGCAAGGAAATTCAGATTTAAAAAAATAATACACCCCTATACACACTTGGAATCCAAGGACATTCTGATATCTTTCTTCCACCTTAATTTTCAACCCAAGAAAACAGCACAACATAGTTTTACTAGCAACCCTGCTCTTCATGTAGTGCATCAACAATGACAAGGGAGTGCTGAAATGTAACACAAGTTTTGACAGTGTCATAATCTCCAAACACAAGATTTACAACCCAGTCCTATCCCACATTAGGTAATCTTTATTTATCAAGACCAACTGGTCTGTATTCGGGGAAGGAGGTTTCCTTATGAAGAAGGGGATGTGCCTACAAAAACTCAAATTGAAACGTACAAGTCTTTAAGGTCCTACTACCATTTCATTTCGTTTCATTTTGCTTTTGTTTGTATATGTCTTCCCATGTTTAAAAGACAGATACATTCTCCAAAGAGAAAAAAAATTGATTGAAAACCAGTTATGCTTGCAGCTGTACTTCCCAAATCAGAGAAATTCAGACCACGGATTTTGGACCCTTCTTGTACTGTACGTTCCATATCAAGTAAACACAGAGCTGAGCTCCACTATTTTATCTCCTAGAAAGAAAGAAAGAAATCTGTGGTCTTTGGTGTGTATGTGCAAGTGCAACTCTTTAGACCGAACATAGCTAATACAGTATCTGACTGCTAAGCCTGAATTCCCAGTGTGAACTTAATGTGGCTAATCACGATATACTTTATCACTGTCTACCCTAATCAGGACATCATGGCCCAAGAACCAAACATTCTCTTGTCTTTCTCATATCTTTGAGATAGAACTACAAATTGTAACATGGGACAAAGCCAAAGCCTGTAAAGGGTAACATAAACAATTATTGGGGCAAACTATCTTTCAGGTTTATTCTTAGCAGTCTGTCAACCTTAACAGTTCAAGCTCAGACTTGCAGGGCACTAAACTGTGTAACATTTGCATACTCCAATATAACTCTATATTACAGATGTAGGGACTGTCCCAGCACCTTGAAAAATACATTTGGGAGTTGATGGGCCCTAGCCCAGCAATAGCCCAGCTGTCAACACAGAAGGTTACAGACCCCATGAGGCAGCATCTGAAAGGCAGTTCAGCCTCTGTTAAGTTGGGAGCTGATGGTTTGGGGAAGGGGAGGGTGGTGCACCAGGCCAGCTGGACTCTTTGCCTGTCGGAGCCCTGCCCGGAGGTTACAGACCCCATGAGGCAGCATCTGACAGGCACTTCAGCCTCTGTTAAGTTGGGAGCTGATAGTTTGGGGAAGGGGAGGGTGGCGCACCAGGCCAGCTCTTTGCCCGTCAGAGCCCTGCCCAGGGCTCTCCTTCCTGCCCACAGCCACCTGCCTGGCGCGCTGGCAAGGAGGCCCCCTTCCCACCTCGCCTCCCCTGAGCTCATGGACAGTCAACTGAAACTCAGAGGGCTGGTTAAACCAAGCTCATGGCCTGCCTCCCCTCGCCAAGGATGCGCTTTCCCAGCAGTGTGGCAGCTCCAGACTGGCTGCCCGGATGGTGGCCACAGGTCCCGGGCGAGTGCAGGAGGGGCGGGGATTGGCCGCGGATGGCAAGAGCCAAGGGGTGGGTGGGTAATGTCAACGTAAATAATTTTTTTTTTTTGGGGGGGTAAAAAGTAAGAAAGTTTCCTGACCCCTGATCTACTCTGTTCTCTCATTCTTTTTGCATGCTCCTACCCTTCCAGCATCACCACAAGGAGGCAATCAGAAACTTCTACTTCTATTAAACACAAGTTGGGCTCAGGATCCAACAAACTGTTGACTTTACTTTTTGTTTTGTTTTGCAAATTAATCCTGACTTCAAATAATTTATGAAACTGACTGCACTAAACTGTTCGACATTAGGCAAGCTTAAGAGTCAACTGAAACTCAGAGGGCTGGTTAAACCAAAAGGGAAGCAACTGTTTCTCATCTCATGGCCACACTGGAAGACAAGGGAGGGGGACCTCTGGCTTGCCCAGCCTTGTCTGAACTAAGGGACGAGCAACTTCCAGATGTTTCTGGATTACCGTTTCCACCAACCCCAGAGAGCATAACCACTGGAGATGTACGATGAGCACACGTTCTCGCTCAGTCTGGCACTAAACCACAGTTCAGCGTTGCATCAGAATTAGGCCAGTGCCTCGCAGCCCCGTTACTTCCAACTTGCCTACAAACTGCTTTGGCTGCAGCGGCTTGAGTGAAAGAGGGAAGCACTACGGAACCCACCCCACGGGGCCTCGGTGGCCAAAGGCGTGAGAGCGATCCGTGGCGAAACCTCCCGTGGGGCACACCGTTTACCATGCGGAAGGAAAAACTGCTGTACTAAGAATCTTGGGACGCCTCGAAGCCGAACAAGGCTTTGCTTGGCAGAAGGTGTCCTGGCCCGCAGCCCATTGCTTCGGAAGCTCTCGTTCCTCGGAAGAGGAGTTTTGCTGCAATCGGACGCAGCTTATGACAGGAACTGGAGGAAGCCCCCCCCCCATACTTCAGGGGCGAGAGCTCGCCTCTGCCCGGCCTCGGTCCTCGCCAATCACGCCCAGGCCTCCCCGCGCGGGGAATCAGTCGATCTGCCCAAGCGCGACGAGGACGAGGACAAAGCGGCCAGAAAGAGGGGAAAGGGGCGGGAGTGAAGCCGCCTTCCTCCCTAGGCTTCCCACGCACTCTTGGGCACGGACGGTCCGGTGGTACACGCATATTGCACCCCCCCCCCCCCCCGTGCTCAAAAGCGCGGCCCGCAGAGAAAACGGGCAGACCGGGAGAGCGGCGCCGATCCGCCGAAGCGTGGCCCCGCCGGCCTCGGCTCTTGCAGGGGGACTCCGGAGGAGGAGGAGGAGGCGGGCTTCGCTTTCTTTTGGCCGCCTGCAAAGAAGGAGGACCCTTTCTTTTTTCCCTTGCAGGCGAGGGAGGGCCACTCAGCAGCCCCGCCGGCCCTCCTCCTCCTCCTCCCTGCGTGTCCCCCCCCCCGCGGCCCCCGAAGAAAAGGCGCCCCCGGCCTGGGGC